TGCTAAAACTTTGGGTTTCTGGTGAAAAAAGTATGGAAGCTTCGGCGTAACGCCAACGGAGAAACGTAAATCTCGATGGTCAGTTTCAGATTCCAATCTCACACACTCTCTCTCTCTTCTCTGCACTCCGATTTGCTTTGTTTTGCTCTTTGGATGCCTTTGACTCTCTTCCGAAGTTTAGGCTTTTTTATAATTTGTTTGCAATATTATTATTTGTCCTTTTGTTAATATCTCTTTGTTTATTTATTATTTCTAAACGAATTAAGGTTTTAATTAGGGGCATTTACTGAATTCCCTAACATTTAATTTTCTTTTTCTTTTTAAAAATCACACTAGTAATTTTCGTATTGAATTTGAATGGGTCAGGGGATTAAATGTAAGTGGCTTCTTTATGACAAACTCTGGAATTTTTGTTAAATAGCTTATGTGAAAATATGCAGCTTACATTAATGTACAAATCAAAGTAGATATTTGTGATTTTGTTTAAATAGTGAGAAGATGGTCTTTCAAAATCAAAACGTAGATGTGTAAAGGAAAACAACAAGAGAAGGGAATATTTAAAAGATGTTGCAAATTGAGATTAGTTTATCTGATATATAGTTATAAAATTTTAATTCGGGTAAGAGAGTATCTTTCTTAAACATGGACCCCTGAAGGGAAGGAGTTTGGTATGTGACATAAATGAGGGTATTTTTTATATAACAATTTTTTTTTTTTTGAAATATCTTAAATTTCAAATATGTCTTGTTGAAAAAAAAATCGAATACGTCATTAATGAAAGTCAATTTGTAGAATTAAATTATAAAAAACACACACTGGCGATGTTGGTTGTGGCTTCGCTGTCTCCCATTATTAACTTAGCTCTGTCTCAGATTCACGTTACGCGCGTGAAACTCTCTTTTCCTCTTTCCACATTCACATTGTTTCCTCCAAGATCCTTACATTTTCGTAAATTCCAAGAAGTGAGAACTTGAGGTTCCACATTACGTTACCAATACCACCTCTTCAAATGTTATAACTACAATGTTACAAACCAAAGAACCAAGAATCAAGAACCACCAGAGCCTTATATCTGATTAATCCGTCTCTTTCCATCATTGACAACAAGCAAACAAACAAACTGTGTGGGATAAATAAAAAGAACAGTGATTTTAGAAAAATAACTTGTAGTTTACTTGTGGTATGAGTGTGTGTTATAGTGGGGCAAATGGCTCCGGAAGAAGCTCGAATCCTCCGTTGTCGAACATGAGTCCGTGATCTGATGATCTATCGTCGATGCTATGTAACCAGTTTGTGTTCTTGACGTCTTCTTTCAGCAACAATGCGTCATACCTTGAGCTCTCGTACATGTCCATGTCGCTCAGCTTCCCCAACATTCTTCTTCCCTCGTTTCCTTCATTCCCGTTCTCTGCGCTGTTGCTGCTAATTGAATCCGAAAGGTTATTCCCGGAACGGATTGGCTGGATTTTGGACGAGGCTTGTCTGATGCTTTGAGGGAATAGCGTCGTGGTTGATAGTGCGCAACCGTTTGTCTTCCCGTTTCTTATGTCCTACACACCATCAAAATGTGGATAATTTTACATCATGATCAAAGTCTTTTTAAATGCACAAGTTACTTGCTCCTAGTGAGAAGAAGTAAACGTACCATGTGCCTAATGGCCATATCGAGTGAACTTTTTGAGAATGACCTCCCAAGCCCGTTGTTGTTATCCATCACAGGTGAAGAAGTCTTCAGGGTTCTCCGTGAAGTTACGTCTGAAACGTTTGAAATCCTTCGGGGCTCTGGTGTATCAGTGAGGTGCTGCCCATTATTACCATAACGGCCTTTTCCTTGGGTCTCTGTGAGTCTTCCTCTGGCCACAACAGGAGATGAGTTCCTTCTTGTCAAGGGACCTTTGGGTTCTGGACTTGCCTTTGCCGTGCTGCTACCAGCAAGTGGCCTGGACCTGCCAGCTGATAGCGGTCTGTCCGGGAGAGTTGTTCTGAGATTAGGTGGTGTATCAAGAGGGAAGTCTGCTAGCACAATTGGCTGTTGCGGGGTGGTTCGGGCTCTAGGTCCAGGAGAACTTGGCCTAGACAATGAAGGTGTGGTGCGGCCGTTTGATGCAGCACGTCCACCTGAGATATTGGATCCTGATGTTGCAGATACCGAGGTGGATGGGCTTCGACGGGTAGGAGTTGAAGGACGAGAATTTGGTCTAGAAGCAGTTGTGTTTAGGGAGTTTGCTGAGAGTTGTGGTCTAGAAGTTGGAGTCGATGGTCTTGAGCTCAGGGACGGTCTGGCCTTGTCCATGGATGAACTAGATGACCCTGGACGGATTCTCGACGGAGTTGAGGCCCGTGTTGCCGAAGATGTACGGGTGGGAGTGGAAGGTCTAGCTGAAGATGACGAACGGGAACTCGGGGATGAAGGTCTAATGTAGGATGACACTGAAGCTGAACTAGTGTTCAGGATGGAAGATGGTGAACGGCCTGAAGTAAAAGAGCTGTACTGCGAGGTAGAAACGGATGGGCGAGTCACAGAACTACTTCTAGCCGGACGTGAGGAATGGTAACTGGTCTCTGTCTGCGAAACTGAAAGCTGTAAACAAAAAAATAGAAAAGAATAAATCGTTACCGCTTTAAGAAACTATTGCGTTGTAGGCACTAGGAAATTATGGAGACAAAGAGCAACTTTTTGAAGTTCTTGATTGTCATTAACAAGATCAGATGGGGGCAAAAAAAAAAAAAAATAACTTAAAGAAGAAAGACCGTTCGTACCCTTGATGCCTTTGAAGCAGAACTAGCTCGAGCAGAAGATGTAATCTTTGGAGCTGCCAAAGATGAATGAGAATCGCTTCCAAGAGGTGTTCCAGGAGGAGTAAGAAGCCTAGAGAAAACACAATTATGCCACGAAATGAAAAAGCTTCAGTTTCCATAACCTTCCCAAAGACAAAAAAAAACTACAGAAAATTCCACACTCCAAAACTCCCAAGTACAAGTAACCAAAACATCACCATTGTGAATAACACAGAGCGGACAAAAGACAAATAACACACATGTGAATGAACCACTGTTCGATTGGACGCACCAAGGATATGCAAAGAGAATTGGCAAAAGCTTACCAATCGTAATCATTTTTTCCTCCTTCAGCTGAAGACAAGAGATCATCACCTTTGCCTTTGGGAGCTGGTTTAGATCCGACCGAGAGTCTCCCAAGTTTTGCAGAAACTAGAGGTAAAAAGCAAAAAAAAAAAAGGTGGAATACAAAGATTTAGTGTTGATTAAGAAAGGGATCAAAGTAAAGAGGCAAAACAAGATCCAGCAATTCTTCATTGGTCCCAAAAAAAAAGGTCTTTTTTAAGATGGCACTGTCTCTCAAATCACTTAATCGAGAAAGCAAAAGAGATCGAATCTAAGAGAAGAAGACAGTTCGAAAAAATTAGTGTAGCGACCACTGAGAAATTAATGTCCAAATCAGACAACTGTGTCTCTCTTTAGCAGCAAAATTCGGAGATCCCCCAGATATAGTATAAGCTTATTATAATTAGAAATTTTTATGTAAAAATCATCATCGAAAGCGAAACAAATCGAATTTCACAAAATTGAAAACGAACCGTCAGGTAATTCGTCGGAGGAAGCCAAGGGGAAAGAGCGACGGATCTTAGAGAAGAGATCTAAATTCTCATCGGATTCCTTAGAGTATCCGTTCTGAGAGATGTTGTTATTGCCTCTGCGAAACTGAGACATCGCCGGAATATTCCTCCCACCGGCTAGAGATTCTCTGAGATTCCTGTTCATTGTTTATG